GGAGGGGTTAAGAAATTGAAGTTGAGAGACTGTGGTGTCTGCAAAATGAGGCCTGCATAGTGTGTAGAATCCAACCCAGGCTAGGTTGAAAGTAATATTCGTGTGGTACAACTGTTTGGAAATACACCATGTTAATGCACAAGCTTGGGGTGCATCACTTTATTTTGTCTCATCAGATGTGCTTAAGTGATGATCTTTTGTGGTTTTGAGGGGTTTTTGTGTTTGGTTTTTGCTGGGGCTTTGTTTTGCTTTTCCTGGAAAGCTGGATGAAAAGAGGTCAGAAATTGGAGTCCTGATATCTGGAGAGGGGGAGTACAGGGATCTGCTTCACTTCCTTCCCTGCCACATCCCCCAAATGAATTCTTCCTCTGTAGGTTTTATGGGAGGAAAGGCAAAAATCTGGAGGGACTTGCTCCATGTGGCTTCCCTCTGGCTAAAGCTGACCCAGCAACAGGGGGAGATGTCACACTGGAACAGATGCTGTGTTCTTCAGATGAATTATGAATTTCAGCCTCTGAAAAGATCAGTCTAAAAGCCTAAGGGCTATGAGGGGAGGGAAAATAACTTTGAAAAACTGAAACACCACTTTGGGTGCATAAAGATTTGAGAGAAATTCTTTTAGGAATGCTGCATTTGAAGTGTATTTGAGCCTCATACATGTTATGCATATGCAGAAGTGCAGTAAATCCCAGTCAGGTGATGGGCTGGCTGCATCATGCATGCTGTCAGGTGGTATATGGTATGGTCAGGACTTCATAGAGGGATTAAGTAAATTCAAACAGAAGGTATTTTGCAGCTTCCCTGGGTACCTCGTTCCAGTTATTAATCACTCTTGTAGTTAGAATGTTTCGTCTGTTATTTGGTTTAAATTTGCCTTTCTGCAAATTGAAGTGATTATTTCTTAGTCTGCTTTTGATGGTGATGCAGCAAATCATTCACTGTCATCTGCATGACACCATATGCCTCGAAGAAAGATATGTTCCCACTCCATCCCCTGCTCTTCCAGTTCTCCTCTTGTCAGTAACCTCATTTTTAAGGTCTTTGTTTTCCTTCACTTTTAAATGTACTTGGTGAAGTTTTCCTCTGGGTTCTTTCCCCTTCTAGTAGGGACCCTGAGACTGAGCGCTGTGGTTGATTTGAGGCCTCATCAGTGCTTCAAAGTTATCAAGTGGAGAGCTGGGTAAAGTGAACTGGTGGCTTCCTTTCTTCATTGTAACACTTCTCTTAATACATCTCAGAATTGCATTTTGCAACATCATTTCCAGTCTGTGATTTTCAAACATTTTTAGTAGGATGGGTGCCTGGCCAAATGGCCTTGCTTTGTAGCAATGTCTATGTATTTTATATAAAATGTCTCTTGCATTGGCCTTTAGTGACTGTCCCTCCACTAGAAACACAGAGGATTTCCATCATATTTTCCTGGGAATCTGGAGGCGTTCATCATCTCATGATGTTTTCACAAAGCACTTGTGAGAATGAGCAATGATTCTGTGAAAAAGTTGGCTTAATTCCAGGACTCTTACATAATTGAGCTAAAAATCTTAAATTTTATATCTCCTGAACATTGCTCATGGGGAATGTCCAGATTAGTCCTCAGAAAAGATTAGTTAAGCTAATTGAAAAGATAATTCCTTTGGATTAAACTATTTTTCTTTTTGTTCTTGTCTCTTCTTTTTTGACTGTTTTTCTGGTACATTTTTAAACTAAACCTCCTAAAAGTGTTGTGGTTTGGTTTTTGGTTTCTTTTTTTGTTTGTTTAAGTATTCATTGTTCTTTCCTAAATAAGAGTTGAAATATTTACCCAAGAAGCACCTGAGAGTCACAGTTTAAAAAAAAAAAAAAGAGGGGGGATGACACCCTTCAACAGTTGCATTAAAGTGAAGAAGGGAGGCAAAAGTTGGGCGGGTTTTGTTTCCTCTTATTTCAATGGGAAAAAATGCATGTGCTGTCATCTTTTTCTTAGATCACAAGGAACTAAAAGAGCTTTCTTTTACAGGTCAGACTTTAAAATGTGGTCTTTGTTACTTAGAATGTATGAATTAAGAGAGTATGTGGTCAGATAGCTAGCATTAGCTATCTGTATTTGTAGTCTTCTTCCAGAAAGGCTGACCATAAACTTTTCAGAAGTAACCTTTGCTGAAGTACATGCTGCCCTGCTGTCTGAGCTTCTGAGACACTGCAGTTATCAGTAAGTAACCTAAGAATGCTTATGTGCATGGTGGCAGAATCAAGGGAGGAAAACTGCCTGCTCACTGTTCTCCCTGTGTTACTATCATTATTTATTTCAAGTTTTGTTCTAAAATATAATGGTAAATAAATATGATTTAAAATTAACTGAAAAGGTTAGACTGGGAGGTTTGTTTTGAAACATGCATAGAAAGCTACTCTGAGGAAGAAAAGTTCAATCTTCTTTTTTTCCTGCTCCATGGGGAATAGGACAAGAAATAGCAGGCTTAAATTGCAGAGAATAAAATTTAGTTTAATATTGGGGACGGGGGAAGAAATTTGTGTCAGTAAAGATAGTAAAACACTAACAAGTTACCTGGATAGGTTTTGGAGAATTGGTCATTGGAGATTGTCAATGACAGGTTAGGAAAATGCATATTGGGAATAGCACAGGTGTCCTCGATACTTTCTTGGATGCTTTCCTGCTGTGTGCTGTGATTGAGTGTTTAGGGCTTGGTCCAAATATTGAAAAACTGAATTCTGTCAGAGATGCTGAGGATCCCTTCATCACTTGAATATATTTTTGTATCTATTCAGCCATCCTGATTTAATATAAAACAGGCAAGGATATTTTTCTCCTCTTCTCCTTGTTCCATATGTCTGTGTAGTTAAAATGAAGATGAGTTGCAGCTAAAAAATTTAATGATTTGCACAGGCACCCTAATTTTCTGCTGGGGAGTGTGTTCTTCTAATAGCATTTAACTGTCATTGAGAATGCTGGAGTATTAATGCCACATACAAAACCATCTGGAAAAGAGCTTTTCCTGAAGCTTCTCAATGTTCCTAAGAGGAACCTACCCAGAGTCTTTGCTCTCAGAGTAGCAAGACTGGAGAAGCGGTGACAGCTATAATGGCAGGGCACTAATGACTCTGGAGAAATGTTACTTTTGTAATTGGAAATGATACAAACAGTGTCATTAGAACAGATTGTTGATGCCATTTTTATTCTTGTCATAGGCTTAGTTACAAGAATGGATTCACTCTAAGGCGATGACATCAGAATTTTTATGCTTTCCATATTTAGACGGACAGATCATGAGGCCTTAACTCATGAAATGCTGTTTTTCCAGAACACCAGCTCATGTGAGTGTGGATCTGAATGACTGCTTACTTTTCCTTCAGTTGAACAGTAGCACAGAGGAGGTGAAATGCCATTGATGTCATTCTGAAATGTGTCTTAGGAGCTGACAGCTCTGACTTGAGCTCCGATTTTCTTGGTCTTTTTTTGATTTGGTGCTGTGAATTGGTTTTGGTTTTGTTCGGGTTTTTCTGTTTGGGTTTGTGGGGAGTTGTTTTATTGGTTTGTTTATTTGGGTTTTTTTAATTGTTGTCATTTTTTGGTTTTTTTTTGTTAAAGATGTTGCTCTTTAGCAAAAATATCTTCATATTCCAGTGTTTGGTATAAAATATGAGAAGCTTTTATAAAAACATAATCAAGATCTTCCCAGGAAATTTCTCATTCTGCAAGTAACTTCTGTTTTAATCCTTACTGTCTCTACTCCGTCTTTTTTAGAATAAGCTGGTACAAAAAGTCATCAGCAGAAAGGAATGGTGATGGGAAGGAGACACTGGAACACAGAAGGCCTTCTAGAATGCTTTTAATGCAACACTACCAATTTTTTTGCTTATCTCATCCTTTTAGGTAATTTTAAAGATCTAATGGGCATGTAAGACCTTCTGTCAGACCTCCACTGTTGGTGCTGCATCCTGATTGAAGTACTCAACATCTGTTTATTGTGTTCTAGTATCAGTCTTGTTACATGGGAAGGAAACAGCACTAGGGATATATTCTCTTGGAATATGTGGCAAATAAGGACAAGGTATGGGGGGTATATATATTATATCTGTGTAACACAGCTGTATATTTGGGGGTTCCTCTGTTCTTTTTTTAATGTTTCATCCATTGATGGTTTGAATAGTCTGCCTCTGGCTGAGCAGGGAGATGAGAGTTGGAGCATTCCTGGAAGTGGAGCATTCCTGGAAGTTTCTGCCCAGAAATGGGCAGAAAGTCTGAGTCTAGGCCAGACTAGAGGCACATAGACATATAAACCAAGACATTTTGGACAGACCTAGATACAGCTTTTGGCAGCTGGTGTTTCTTTCTACAGCACCATGAGAAAGGCCTAATCTAACACATCTGACAGATTATCTTAAATCAAATAAACAGGTTTTTAATGCTGAGGAACTGAAATGGAAGAGTTGATTAGAAAAAAAACCAACACCTCAGTTGTTCAGTCTGTATCCTTCTCTACTAAAATCACGAAACATCAAGTAAATACAGACAAATCAGGTCTGAGAAGGATGAAGGATACTGATGACCACAAGTCATCTGAGGTGTGAGTACTGCAGATTTCTTGTCTTCATTCTCAACAAGAAAACATAAAGTCCCTTAATTCAAAAAGGCAACTCCTCATACCTCTCATTTGAAGTTTTCAGTTTGTTTCTCACACTCCTACTCTGAATAGGTGTCTTAGCACAGTGGCAGAATTACCAGTTAAAATTTATGCTCTGTATCTTGTTTCTGGTTTAGGTGGGAAATAACATGGAATTCCTGCGTAAGCCCTATGTTACACAGAGATCCCTGACTTACTGCAGCGACCAGAGAGAGGGCAAGAGCAAAAGTCAGAAACTTGCTGTAAAGGGCTCCAAAATAGGGTTATGGCCACTTGCTGCTAGTTTTCTTTGAGTAACTCTCAAAAAAAAACCCGAGACGGAATTCCTGCTGGCAAAGGTGTGACTTTTTTTTTTTTTACACTCTGAAGCCTACTGAATGCACTCTGAATAAATGTTCGATGTGTTTAAGTTCCCTAGGGGGTTAAAAGTCTGCCGTGACCCAACAGGGTATAGATTTACGGTTGCGACGATGAACTAAGACCGACTTCCTCTGTGTTCAGAACACAGCCGGGCGGTGTGACACAAACGCAGTGCGCTGGCTTCCCCTTCTGGCCGAAAGAAGTAAGTGATCCTGACGGCGGGAGTCACACGAACTTTTTCTCAATTTTATTTCTATGCACTAAACACTAGTTTTCAGAGAACAAATAAATGGCTAACTGACAGTGTGTGTGGGGAAAGGTTGGTGGAACATCTTTGCTTCTTGAAACATAATATATCGAGATGTTGCTATTTGAACATAGAACATAGAATTCTTTTCTAAACATGGACCTAGTCTGGAAGGTATTGAGATGAAAATACCAATTTCTGGATAAAAAGATTCCCAATTTCCCTTCTAGACCTCTGTTTGCTGTTCCTAGAAGCAAATATTTTACTTCTTTTCATATTCTGTAGCTAATTTCCCCCATGCAACTGCATCAGTTATGATTGTAAATTTCTTTTTTGCTTGGACTTTGGGCTTTTTTTCTTGCCTTTTTACCTTATTTAAGGATTCCTCTTTCATTTTAATTCTATGGTACAACGTTCTGTAGCATTAGGCTAAGCTTTGTAAATAAACACTAGCATAAAGGTGTTTCCTTTGTGGTATAAAGCAATGACACAAAATATGATCCAATGTGCTTTTTAACAAGCCCTTTCTAAGTTAGTTTGCCAGCCTTTTACAATGTTGTTTTGCCATGTTTCTGGATGTGTTGATAATATAACATGAAATCCTAGCAGAATTTTTCCTCTTTGTCGTTTTCACTCCCGCTTCCACTGCCTGGAAAAAAATGGGACATTGAAATCACTACACAATTTTGCATCATAAGAAGACCACAGTTGTGCTTTTGTGGGCATGTTGGAGAGCAAACATGCAAACACAACACGTATGCACATACATACATACCAGAGAAACAGAAATATCCAGTGTGATAAACAGGAGCCTCATGTTTAAGGCACTTAGGTGCACTGCCAGAAACAGGCTTCCCTGTGCATACCACGGCTTTGGTCCCAGCTGGAAACACTTAGGTTTTCCTATTTCTCAGTTTTGAATCCTCACTATCAGATGGGCTTGGTCTTCCTTTTCATCTTGGCCATGTCATCCTGAAACAGAAAGTGTCTTGATATGTTTTGCTGCAATGTTTTGTTCCTATGGATAACTCTACCCACTACCTCACTTCCACCAATTGTGGTTTTCACCTGCTGGTGAGGCACTCAGCTTAGGGATGTTCAGACAGACCTCTGAGCATCGATGCTGTTGGAGATGCAGGGAAAAACATCTGAATGCATGAAAGATTATGTATTTACTCTTAATATTCATATTGTCTACAATGATAAACTGAGTTAAGCATTCACCATTCCTTGCTTCACCTTGGGAACTTTAAGGTATTCACTTTTTGCTGTGTGAGATTGTGCTAAGTTCATTCTGACCTAATAAATTTTTAGCACCCTGGGGTAGAGGGAAGGAGGATTGTATTTAGTCACTTGAAAGTCTCACTCCTCTGCTCAGGGCTTTGTCAACTACAGAACTTAAAAATTGCAGCAATCAAGCAAAAAGTAGCTGGGAATGCTGGCAAAGTCAAGTGTCAGATTGTATTATGCCTCTTATGTTTACTAATATACTTGCTATGGTTTCATTGCTGTATTGAAAAGAACCAGGAGGAGGCAATTAATGATTTCCTTTTCGGCTGTGCAATAATGAACTACATGAGAAATATTTTGATATCATGAGTCATTGGTGGCCATGGAGAAAAACATAGTCTTTAAGCCAATTGAAAGAAAAAAAATATATTATTTTACTGGCAAGTGAGTTGCTCTTCCAGGTTTATAATTTTAACAATGAATCAGCTGTGGAGAACATTATTTAACTTGCTTTCACAACCAGTAGACTTATATGAATAATGTTTGGGTTTTTTTCTGCCCATACAGTAATTTTTTTCCCAAAGGAATCTCAACATTTGCAGAAAAGATAATTGCTTTTAAAAGAAAATGTTTTTATCTGTCCCCTTAATTTTATATCAGGCAGTTCATCATGAACAAATAAAAAACTTGTGCATAAGCCATAGAAAACTTTCCTGTAATTATATAATTTCTCACTAATGTGCAATTATAGCTCAGTTGATACCACCAAGAAAATGTTAAAGTCACTGCTCTAAAGTTTTGTGAAGAAACTTCAGCTCCCTTGTTTATAAAAATATTACACAGTTATTTAAGATTAATTTTTCCTCTTCTTTCTTCAGATTCTCTCTTGTAGGTCTCAGCCAAAGCTCAAAAAGCAAATTTGTTTTTCCAGGCTCTCGAGCAGCTCTGTGAGCTCTGATAACCTCATGGCTCCTCACCAGCACGAGTACAGCGAATCCACTCAGCTGTTGGAGCCATCCCACCTTTGTAGGTGGCTGAACCTGGGAAGCTGTGGTAAGGCTCTTGTCTCCAGACCTAGCCAGGGAGCTGACTTGCTGCTCTGTCCTGGCCTTTTTGTAGTAAAACCTTAGGATGCCTGTAGGCAGCAAACATCTGTTTGTGTAGCTGTCAGTGAGTCTTTGGGGAGATGAACTTTTTTTGTGCCGTTTTCTTGCCTGAGTCACGATTGCAAATCTGAGGTCTGAGCTCAAGTTGTATTTAAACAGCAGACATTCACCTGTGAATATGCTTCCTGTTGTTTTCATTTCACATCTTTTAAGATGAGAGAGAAGGTGTATTTTGTCTAAAATGCTAAGACTGCTCTTGAAAGGCTAGTGTTTTCTTCTTGAAAGGAAGGCTGTAATCAGCTGTTACCTTGCTCAGCGTTTTGCTGTAAAGAGGAGGTTGGATCGATCTTCTCTGCTTGTGTGAAAACTGAAATGAATTGAGGGTTGTCTTCTGCAGGAAAGGACTATAGCTTCAGTTTGTACCGTGGCAAGGACTGTAGTTACTCTGCAACTTAGCTAAACCTGATATGCAGGCAGGATTTAACTCTTGCTGCAAATTGACACTTGTTTGTTGCTCTGGCTGTACTGCTGTACGAATCTCTTGGGTTTGTTTCCCCCCACCCCCCCCGGATTGCTTGTAATAAAATACTTGTATATTTTGTAATAAAGCCATTAGTCCAGTTGCAATCATACTAGCCAAGAACGTGCATTTGCAAGGGAGGAGGGTGGACTTACTACAAGCAGAGTGGAGAAATGTTGGAGGAAAAAGAGAGTGATGACCACCAGGTGTTACACTGGAAGTGCAATGTGAGAAATCAGTGTAGGAATTGCCACTGAATTCATATTCCTGAATGAGAAGTTCATTTTGTAATATAGCATAATAGAGCAAGGGATTCAGGTGCATGGCAGAGCCCTCTTAAACCCTCAGCCTGGGGGTAGAAAGAACTGATGAAACAAAATCCCATCTCTAAGAAATAATAATTTTGTCTTGCGACACAAATTTCATAACTTACAACCAGTATGGATTGTAGGCATGCTGGACCTTTTCACATACAGAGAGCAGGATCAATAGGGAATTCCTAACAAAAGTACATCTTTACATGTTCAGGAAAAAGCTGGTGAGTTTCAAGCTGGTCCTCTTTATTTAATTTCATCAGTTATTTGTCCTGTCATAATTTCATTTAGATCACAGAGATTCGTTAGTTTTGTATTTGCTTTTACAGCACATAGCTGTAAAGAAATGTCTATGCCTATAATTAAATATTGTTGTGGTAATTATGTGCACAAAGATTACTTTGGGGCTGCTTAAAGAGGAGGGGAACAGAGCAAGGAAATCAGAGTGCTGCCAGAGAAAGGGAGAATGAATGAATCCAACTAAAACTGCAAGGGGAAGTCAGCTGGATGGAATGTAAATCTGCATGGTTGAATTTGGCAGAGATGTTAATGCTAATACTATTTCTGCTGTAAGAAGTTACAGAAGGGCCTTTTTCTATTATTTTATGATGACTGGGATTCAGTTGCACATTTTGTCTAAATACTTGTGCCTCCCTGCACCTGTAGTTCATGGCACAATACTTTATAACACCTTGTAGGATGTTTGATTTAGTATTGGCTCAGAAGGAAGATTGCCATTTCACGAGTTACCAGCAGTACTCTTTTATTTAACATCTGGGGTAAACTTGCAGCAAGGAGGTTAAACCAGACAATTTTCCTTAAATCTTGGACAAGTTTGCAGATGGTGATGGAATGACTATGGGGTGCACACTTTTATTCCTCTGACACCCCTGGGGAAAAGAAGCATAGAGAACATAAAGGAAGATGAGTTAAATTTGAAATTAAAAAAGCTTCCAAACCAACACACACATACACACATACATTTGAAAGATCATTTAAAAGAACAAGAGGAGAAACAGAGCCTGATATGGAAAGGTACTGAATTACCCTCATGAATACTTCAGCTACAATGTTAAGTAAATTAATGACGAATGCATAGAATACATGAGCCTAGAGCAGTTTGTATGTTGGAGATCAGAAAGCACAAATACAGTGAATCTGACCAAAATTCATTGGGCTGTGTGTAATAAAGACACAAAAAAAAAAGCATGTTCAGTCACATACCTTAAAAGATCATAGGGGAAACATAAAATCAGAGGTGGTAGAAGAGTGCACAGTTCTAGGAGACCTGTGTAATCTCTTTTCCAGAATATTGAAAGAAGGAGTGTGTGTAATTTTTAATGCAACAGGAAGTCTTCCTATCGTATCTGATATTTGGAAACTCTAGTCTCTGACTGGAGAAAAGCAAATTTATTTAATCTGAGTTGAGGGGAAAGGGGTGAAAAAAGAGAGATTACTCGAATTTCCAGACCTCATCAGTGTGCAAAGTCTTGAAAACAGTTCTTGCAGCAAAACTGCTCTGGAGCACATACATGCTTGTTTGTGGTCATATCAGATTGGCAGTGCAACTGATGGGCTGTATAAAATAGCAGAAGTTTTGTTCTGAACTGCTGAATGCACAATTTAATCTCATTCCTATTATTCCAGTCCACAAGGTTATCATAGACAGAGAACTGAACAATCCACTCTCCTCTTCAGTATTGACAAAATGTTTTGCATATCCATTCATCTAGGTCAATGACAAATTATTGAAGATGAAAGTCCACAAAGTGGAATAAACTGCAGGATCAACTAAGCCATAGCAGAATGGCTTTTTTGTTGTTGTTGCTGCTGTTATTAAAAAAATAATGGGGATGTGCTACCTAGGTTTAAGCACAGCACTTGAAACAGAGAGCCTTAGAAAGCTTATTTAATGAAGAGATTATAGTGATACATGCTAACTGATGAATAAAGATCTGGTTAAATAGACTTCACAAGGCTGTTTTCAAATGGGATTTCTTGTTTGCTGTGGTTCCATCACATGCTGATAGGGACACAAAATTGCATGTTTTCTCAGCTCTGAAGAGAGTTCAGTTCTCTGGGTATGATAATCTTCTGGACCAGAATAAAAATAATGAGATTAAATCGTGCATTCAGCTGTAAAGAATGAAACTTTTGCTATTTTATACAAAAGCAAAAGTGATTTTATACAGTGCATCACTTGCACTGCCCGTGTGATGGGAACTCTGAACGGGTCTGGTGTGATGTAAGACTGCAAGGCACTGGGAACAGCTCAGCCAGGAGAATTCCGTGCATTACGTTTTCTGGGAATAAATGTGTCTACTTTAACAAGGAGATGGGCGGAAAAGGGGTTGGAAGACGACGGGTGGAAATAATAACAGTTTTTAAAAAGTAAAACAAACACCACCCCGCAATAAACCAACATTCCATGGCAGGAAATTTTCAAATCCAGATTTAACTTGCCAAAACGAAGACTGAAAATAAATATGATGTAATTAGCACAGGTGGGGGTTTAAGCATTTCTTCTCCTTTGCTGCTATCTGAAATGAAACGAGGGGAAGAGTAAATCGCCACGCACGCACCCAAAGCGGACATTTCCAAGATCTCAGGAAAGAAATGAGGGTTTGCAACACCCTTCCTTGAAAGGCCAGGGCAGAGGGACTGTGGCTCCATCGGCGTGGAAGTCCGTGTGCTCACGGAATGGCCAGAAATGAGACCTGAGGACTTGAGACCCGGCTTTGCAGGGCGAGGAGGATGGCGGGGGGAAGGTGGTGGTAGGGAGGGGGGAAGCTCCTCTCCTTTCGGGACCCCCCCGCCCCATCCTACTCTCCCCGTTCCCTGCCCGGACAGCGGGTTCCGGCTCAGCCTGAGGGCGTCACTTCCCGGGGCGGAGCGGGGCGGACCGTGGTAAGTGCTGGGAATCCGGGAATGGCGGGGAGCGGGGGATTTTCTCGCACCCTCAGCGGTCGCGCCCGGGCCGCGGCGATGGAGCGGCTGCGGGGCCGGGGCTGCCCGGGATCCTCCGGGAGGTTTCAGATCCTTGGGTTTAGTCCTAAACGTTCTTGTGCCTGAGCACCCCCTGCCTCCACCTTTTTTTTTTCCGGACAAAAATACCCCTCATCCCGAACAATTGTTAAAAACAGCCCTGCAGCCGTGAGAGTGGGACATACAGCGATTTCAGGGAGCACGAGGGTTGGTTTGTGCCTGGATTTGCGGCACGCTGCTTGTGCTCTCAGAGGCTGCCTTATTTCAAACTGCTGTTTACGTGTCTGCTTTTTTTTATAAAGGTAATATTTTACTGAGTATGATAATAAAGAGAGGACGCGCTACTGAAAGTTGTGTGGCTACTTTTCGTTGTGTCTTTTTAGCTGGAAAAGGGAACTATCTTTGTTCAAGACAGTAGGTACGGATAAAAAAAAGCTGCTGGTCACCTGTGTAGACAGGTTTCATTTGAGTCCTTACAAGTGCTTTGAAGAAATTAAAAACGTTTCTCTTTCTCTTTAGGGCGTCTGCCAACAGAAGTGAACTGATACCTCTGGTACTTTTTAATTCCAAACAAGATGAGGATCCCCTCTTTGCTGATGGGATTCCCTCGTTATTTCTCCAGAAGAACTTACTTCATGAACTTCATTTCCAGAGCAGATTTTCTATGCATTGGATCTCTTGCATCAGTGCACCACTGTCGTACAGAATGGATGTGTTCTTTGAATGGTTTGAGGAGAGAGCTCTGTCAACAAGTAGCCCCTGAGCAGCAAATAGAGGGACTTTCTGACAGAGAACAAAGACTCGTAGACAGACTTTACAATGGACTAATCCAGGGTCATAGAGCTTGTTTAGCTGAAGCCATTACACTTGTAGAATCAACTCAGAGTAGGAAGAAGAAAGTAGCCCAGGTGCTCCTTCAGAAGGTATTATCCTACCACAGGGAACAAGAAAAATTAAATCAAGGAAAACCACTTGCCTTTAGAGTGGGTTAGTCCTTTTATATCTGTCTAGTAGTTGCTTACGTGGAATTGCAGTTCTCACCTTTCATTATCACTATCATTTGTGGTGTGTAGTCTTGGATTGTTGGTTTTGTGGGGTTTGTAACCAATTAGGTCACTTCTGTTGTCCAGTCATCAATTATGGCTTGATCTGAAAGATGCTTTTGAAAAAGCATTAGAAATTATTGTTGCATCTTGAGGGTGTGTTACGTGGGGTGTTTTTTGTAACTGTTATAAGCTGAAACGTTAGGTGGTTTGCAGATTGATGCAGATATTATCTACACCTAGACAAGAAAGGATGTAGTCAAGCAGACCTGATCTTTCCCCGAAGAAGGTGTTTTCTTGAATCCCTTTTTCGATTTACAAAAGATAAAACATGTACTTTCCTGTCTTATGGCCTTCCTTTAAAGCAGCCTACTTTTCAGCTGAAAGAGACTTGCACCTGATTCTCTTGGAAGCTCTGAAATATTTTCCCTTTGCAAAGAGATGGGCTACTAATGTATGTCACGCCCAGCTCATTTCTTGTGTCATCTTTACCAAGGTAGTAAGAACGAGAACTTGGGTGTGGGAGTAAGAAAAGTTTGGTGCTAATCTTAGTTTGCGAGCTTTGACACGCAAGTAAATGGCCTCATTTTTTGAAGTAACAGCTCTGCAAGGTAAGGGCTTTTGGTTTTACAGTGTTTCTTTCATAACTGTCAGTACATCTGAAAAAACGCAGTTTGAGGATGAAATGTTTTGAAAGTTCTGAAAGATAAGTCAGTGTAAGTAAATTTATTTGGAGGGAAGTAAATATGTGTGGATAATGTTCTGTTAGTGTGGGTGGGATTAAGGGTAGTGAAGCGAGGCCTGCTGTGTTGGGTGAATCAAGATGGTGTATTTTGAGTGAATTACAACTGCTTAGGTGGTGTAACAGTTTTGACATATCTCCTATTTGCCTTTGCTGTGATATTGTGTTAAAGTATGAGTTGTTATCAACTTAGATGTTGATGGTGTTCATGTGATATATTATTTATTTGATTAGCAAAATGTTTTTTCCTTTCTAATATGATTATGTAGGGTTGTCTGGTCCTCCCGGTGCTGGGAAATCGACTTTCATAGAGTGCTTTGGGAAAATGCTTACAGAAAGAAAACACAAAGTGTCTGTGCTGGCCGTAGACCCTTCCTCTAGTACAAGTGGTGGTGAGTGTGAATTAAAGTTTGAGTCAGGTTTCCAATACCTTGTCAACTATAGGAGTATCTCTTTGTGCCAAATGGAGAAAAATATTGACTGTATCAGGTCTTCATTTTTTTCCTCATTTGATATGAAATTGGGAAAGAGGTATCAGTCTCCTAACTTTGTGACATTTCCTCTTTTCCGCTGTTGGAATGTTCAGCCTTACAGTTTTTTTTTTTCTAAATTTGAATTTCTTTGAAGCTGCGTGGCTGTAACGTGTCACTTTCAGTAAATAAAAGATTGTAGGGGAATTATAAGCTGACCATGCTTGATTCATGGTATTCCTGATATAAATATAGAATCTTGATTCTGATCTTTTTCTGATGGGCAGCTTCCAGGGAACATCATTAGTTTTTCAGCTTCTGTGCTGTTACAGAAGATGCCGTGATGTGTACCTATTTATAAAGACAAAAAACTTCAGCATTGCAATGACCTGGCACTAAGACAGACTGTATTCTTGAATGCATGCATTCAGGATGCATCAGAATAGCAAAATATGATAGCAAGACTGCACCAGTTGAAAGAATTGAGCATCCCTCATCTTTTGGAATGTGTGTTGTGTGCATAGATCTTGCTGAGGCTGATGCACAATTTGTTCAAATAGATTTATGTCAGATTTCTTAAAACAAAAAAATCCACCATCAAGATGTATCAGAATCATAATGCAGATATTTGTTCCTTTAGACAGAAACAGCAAATATTTGGTTGTGTGGCCTGGTGTGTGTAGGCCTCAAAAAGCCATTCAGGAGGTGTGGAATTAATTCTGATCTGGAACAAATTCTTTGTATTTGATAGCAATAGGGTCTGCTTATCAGGCCTCTCCAGTTTCTGATAGGTGGAAGAACCAGGCCATAACTTCCTAGTCCTCAGCAAAGTCTTGACCAACTGTTGCTGGGATATTCCTGTTTGACTGACTTAGCCCAAAAGGTCTGTCTTTTCCTGCTCATTTATTGGTGGGAGGGAGAAGGGGAAGTTTGTCTGTGTTGCACTTCCGAAATAATTTAACATTACATGTTTAAGGTTCTCTGTTGGGTGATAAGACACGGATGACTGAGTTGTCAAGAGACATGAATGCTTACATCAGACCATCTCCAACCAGTGGGACGCTGGGAGGTGTAACGAGGACCACAAATGAAGCCATTCTGCTGTGTGAAGGAGGAGGCTACGATGTTGTTCTTGTGGAAACTGTAGGTATGTGCTTAGGGCTTCCTTTTAACTATCCTGTTGTGATATCTAAATAAGGTGTGTTACTAATTGCATGCTTTCCTCCTTGAGTTTGTTTCATACGTGGTCACTGGTTGAACACGAATGCCCATTCTGTCTTATTTTCTGATCTTCTTTGTCTTTTACAA